CGAGGGGGATCCCACACCCAGCCCCGGTGGCACTGTCGCTGATGGCGCAAGTGTCCCCACAGGTCATCGAGCTGCCGGTGACGGAGCGTCAGATCGAGCGGGAGCACCTGATCCAGCTGAAGAAGTGGCGGGAGACGCACGGAGAGCTGCAGTGCAAGTCCCCGCCGCGCCTGCACGGCGCCAAGGCCATCAGCGAGGCGGAGCCCGCGCCGCGAAAGGCGCTGGAGCCCGTCCCCTCCATCATCGTTTCCCCCGGGCCCGCCCCCGTGCCCAAAGCCCGCAAGAGCAAGGAGAAGAGCCGGGAAAAGGGCCCGGCCAGTCCTGCCAACGGCCCCGGGGCTGAGGGCAACGGGGCGCCCGGCACGACCCGGGAGCTGCTGCACCCCCAGGTCTCCCCCCACCACCAGTCCAAGGAGAGCCTGAGCTCCCGGGAGAGCGAGGACACGTACTTGTAGGGCCCGGCCCACACCCCGGGCAGCCGGGCTCAGCGGGGCTGCGCACGGACCCGGGCGCGAGGACACCCAGGGGGACCCTGGCACCCGGCGCTGGGGGCTCTGAGCTGGAGGGATGGGACAGGGGGGCTGTGCGGCCCCGTGAGAACAGCGTGGCCCTCTCGGGGCATGCGTGGAGCTTGGCCAGGTGTGGTGACCAAAGGGGACACCGTGGGTCTGCGCTGGGTGCCCACCCCGCAGGGTGCTGGCACCACGAGCGGTGGGAGCCCGGGCAGGGGGTGGCTGAGCCACCCGAGCTCCCTCCCCACACTGGGGGGCTGGGCTGCCCCTCGGGCCCTTCTCCCCGTCCCAGAGCCCCTCAACCCATCACCCCCCCCGGGTCCCTCCCTAGCCCCCACCCTGTGCCAGCCAGGCAGCCCCAGCCCTGGCTCCCGAGCACTTAGGCCTGGCGCAGGGCACTGGGGGTACACGAGGAGCCCTGGGACCCCTCGCCCCCCTCTTATCTAGTGAGGATATATCAAGCTGTAGCCCTATATGTAGTACCCAACTTACCTACTCACTGAGCCTATTTATTATTCCTCCGAGGCAGGACAGGGACCGAGGCAGGATGCGCTAGAGGCAGCGGGATTTGAGTTTTGGGGCTAAAGCCCCCCCATCCCATCCCCTCCCATCCCCCAGTTCCCCAGAGCTCAGGGGGAGTGTTTACCCTGCCAGGGCTCACCCCACCACTGCCGCCCCCCCAGGCCCCAGCGCAGGTGAGACGGGGTGGGTGAGCAGCAGCCAGGTGCTCCCTGGTTGTGGGGTCCCCTCTGCCCCCCCTGCCCTCCCCAAGGGTGGGTGGTGGGTTTGTAAAATAAAGTGGGAAAAGCAGTTTTGTACAAAGGGGTCAATAAAGCGAGTGTGTAAAGGCGCAGCCCTGGCTCCCACCTCTCTCGGCCTGGGATGGGGGGTGGAGGGTGGCAGGAGGCAAGGGGGTCACCTCCCACTTGCTGCAGCAGTACCAGCTTCGGGGGCACCCTGACCTGGACCCTACCCTTGGCTCTCTGTCCCTGGGGAGCACCCTCCCCTGCATCCCACTTGCACTGGACACTGACTGGCATGCACCCTTCCCTGGGTCCCGTCTCCCTTGGCTGCCCTTGTCCTGGGCAGTGTCCTGGGAAGGGCCACGCTGCTGTCACTGTCACTGCTCTGTCACCGCAGAGGGTGGCCCAGCCCTGCTGTGTCACCCAGCCTTGGGCTGCCCGTTTGAAGTGGAATGGGAGGAGACTGAGACTTGCCCCAACTTGTGATAGTGGTGGCTGCCAGGCTCTGGTGCACTCCCATCCCAGCACCCAGGCCTTTCCCCTTCTCCCACTGTCACAGCTCCTGTGGCTGAACAGAGCCAGGGGACCCCTAATTAATCCCGTGGCACCTCAGAGCTCAAAATGGTGCCCACACCATCTCTCTCCTTCTTCCGGCAGGCAGGAATTCTGCCCAAACCTCCATTCCTCCCTCCACAACCCCCTTTTTCAGGGGGTGGACCTGGTTTGGTGAATCCCCTCTCCAGGCCTGGTATTGAGTATGTGGGACCCGGCTGGGTGCAGGGGTTGGGGGTACAGTGGCGTTGGCAGGGTCTCCCTTGGTTGGGCACCCTGGGCTGTTGAACTGAGGCTGGTTTGGGCACCCCCAGGGCTGCAGTTCGGGGGTACCCCGGGACTCTGAGCTGGAGCTGCTCCAGGCACCCCGGGGCGCTGAATTTGGGCTGGTTTGGGCACCGTGGAGTTCTGTACTGGGGCTGGTTCCGAGGCTCCGGTGCGGCTATCCCGGGGCTCCAGTGCGGCTATCCCGGGGCTCTGGACCGGGGCTGCTCCCGGAGCGCCGGGCCCGGCTCGCTGCCTTTCTCGCCGTGCGGGGCGGTGCCGGTCGGGTCCCGAAGCAGTGCGGGGCGGTCCCGGCCCAGGCAGGCGGTCGCAGGGCGGTCCCAGAGAGATACGGAGCGTTCCCGGATCGGTCCCTGGGCGATAAGGGCGGCCACAGGCCGTTGACGAACCGAAGCGGGGCGGTTCCGGGGCGGTTGCGGGGCGATGTGAGGCGGTCCCGGGGCAATGCGGGGCGGTCCTGGGCCGGTCCCGGGGCGATGCGGGGCGGTCCTGGGCCGGTCCCGGGGCGATGCGGGGCGGTTCCGGGGCGGTCCCGGGGCGATGCGGGGCGGTTCCGGGGCGGTCCCGGGGCGATGCGGGGCGGTCCTGGGCCGGTCCCGGGGCGATGCGGGGCGGTCCCGGGGCGGTCCCGTGTCCGCCCTTATAGCGGCGGCGGCGGCGGCTCCCGGGGCGGCGCGGCCGCCATGGACCTGCACATCCTGGAGCACCGGGTGCGGGTGCTGAGCCTGGCCCGCCGCGGGCTCTGGCTCTACACGCACCCGCTGCTCAAGCTGCTCTTCCTGCCCCAGCGCTGCCGGTACCGGCTTCTCTCCCCACACCGGCCTCCTCCTTCTCCTCTTCTTCCCCCGACTCCCGGCCCCGGGAGGCGGCGGCGGTTTTGAGGTCAGCAGCACCGATTTCTTCTGCTTCAGATGCAAGTTCTTCAGCCTGACGGAGACCCCCGAGGACTACACGGTCATGCTGGACGAGGAGGGCTTCAAAGGTAGCGAGCGGTGTCCCGCTGGCAGGGCGGGCTGGCACGGCGGGCACGGGCTCTGGGCCGCGGGGAGCGAGTCCCGGCTTGTGCTCGGCTCCCTCGGAACATGCCCATCCCGGCCCCCCGGCGCCTGCGCCAGGGATGTGCCGGCTTGCCCGGCCGAGGCTGTCCCGGCGCGGCTGCCCTCGCCCCGGCAGCCCTCGGGGCAGAGCTGCCCCCCGGCTCGTGGCACCGAGCGGTGCCAGCCCGCAGCGCGGCTGCTCCCGGCAGGGCGCAGGCACCTCCCGGGATGCCCGCGGGCAGCGCTCCAGGCTCTGGCAGCGCTCCTGTCATCATTCCCGCCTCCGGTTTCATCCCGTCCCTCCTCCCGGAGAGGGCCAACTGGAGCCTGGCAGAGGAGGGCAAAGCACAGGCCCAGCCGGGCTGGCAGGGGTGAGCCCTGTCCGGCAGCAGGGCCCAGCTTTTGGGGTGTCCTGGGCTGCTTTGATCCCTTCCAAGCCAGTCGCTCTCCCAGGGAGGTGCCATTTGGTGACGTCCCCACCGCGGGTGACCTGGCGCGTGCCGTGCATCACCCTCGCGGCCAGCCCTGCCCGGGTACCGGCCCAACGGGCTGAGCCAGAGGGTCCGGATCCCGGCCCGCCTTCCCACGCCCAAACCTTCCTGCCGCGGCCGCAGGAGCTGGGCGCAGCGGATCCTTGGCCGTGACCCAGGGAACAAGGGTCAGCGCTCCGGCCACGGGTGCTCACGGCCAGGTGCCAGGCTCACCTCCTTGTGCTGTGGAACAGGACCGTGTCCCGGGCTCTCCCCGCTCCCAGAGCCAGAGCTGTTCCCCATGTATTGTTTTATTTTGGGGCCTGCAGACAAATATTCCTCAATCCCGAGGGGAGGGCGGGAAGTGCTGAACAATGGTCCTGCGAGCCTGCGGCCTGCAGTGCCCTGTGAACCCCCCTTGGCTGGGGGCTGCCGGGGTCCCCCCGCTGCCGGGCTGGAAGGCGACCCCAGCAGAGGAGAGCTGCACCCCCTCTTCCCTTGGGATCAGGATTCAGCCCTGGGGTGGGTGACACGGGCAGCGAGGTCCCCTTGCATTCAGCCTCGCCCAGGGTGGTGTTGAAAAGCAATTAAACGCTGAGCTCTGGGACAGGTCCCCATGTCCCCGAGTCCCTGTCCCGCCCCCCTGTTCCCAGCACTGGGCCCTGGGCCGGAGCCGAGGCCGTTCTGGCGCTTCCTGCACAGGAACAGGCGCTGGGAACACCCGCGAGGCCCTGGATCCGGCCCCGCTCCTGCCCTGCCCCGGGCCGAGCTTGGGAGTGGGGTACAGAGCCTGTCCCCCGAGGGGGTCCCCCATGCGACCTGCCCTCCACTGCTGGTGTGAAGAGTTCGGGGTCTCAGCTGGGCTTGGGGCTGGGGGCTTGTGTGATCTCCCATGGGAGCTGCTCCCACCTTTCCCGCATGGGAGTGCGTGGGAGGAGACCCCTGGGTGCCCTGGCCTGTCCCGTGCTGGGAAGGGGAGCCCAGAGAGGAGGGGGCGCCCTGGCTGAGTCCTGGGGTACCCCAGCAGTGCCAGCCCCTCCCCTGGGCAGGAGGGTGGGAGCAAGGGCGGTGGGAGGCAGGAACAGCAGGCCTATGCCCACTCTGCCAACACCAGCAGATTTTAGGGAATTAGCTGTGGCCCTCTGCCAGCCTGGGGTCTCTCCTGGGCAGGAGAGTGGGAGCAAGGGAGGTGGGAGGCAGGAACAGCAGGCCAACACCAGCAGATTTTTGGGAATTAGCTGTGGCCCTCTGCCAGCCTGGGGTCTCTCCACCAGGCTGGGACCAGGTGCTGGGACGCCCAGGACAGCGGGATGGCCCTGCCCTTGTCCCCTCCAATGCCCAGTGTGCATCCCTGGTGGTGGGCGCTGGGCTGGGGGTTCCTGGGAGCAGAGGATGCCCCAGGTGCTGGGATCCCCTGCCCTTATCCCCTCCAATGCCCAGTGTGCATCCCTGAGCATCCCTGGTGGTGGGCGCTGGGCTGGGGGTTCCTAGGGGCAGAGGATGAGCAGGGCAGCCCCACGGCCCTGATGGTGCTGGTTTTGGGGTGCAATGCCAACACTCCCTGCACCCAGCCTGGGGCCCTGGCACAGGGAGGAGAGACACATCTTGGGCATTGGGGGGGCTGTAGCCTTGGCCCCCCTCATCCCTATGGCCAGATCCCAGTGTGGAGCAGCTGAGCCCTGGCTCATTCCACCTGTGGATGGGGCTCATCTGCACCCCAAAGCAGCGTCCCCACGCCTGGGGCTGATCCTGCCTTGGGGGTCAGTGTGGCACACAGTCCCGAGCTGGCCCCGGCTCTGTTTCTGGCTGTGCCGAGCCCTGCGGAGCCACCTGCCCCAGTGTCCCTTGTCCCTCGCAGAGCTGCCACCCTCCGAGTTCATGCAGGTGGCAGATTCCACGTGGCTGGTGCTCAGCGTCGTCTCCAACGGGCGGGAGCCGCCCGGCTGCCAGGCCACCGGTGTCACCAAGATCGCGCGCTCGGTCATCGCGCCGCTGGCCGAGCACCACGTCTCGGTGCTGATGCTCTCCACGTACCAGACCGACTTCATCCTGGTGAGTGACGGGCACGGGGGCGCCTGGCTGGCTGTCCCCAGGCCCTCTGTGCCCTGAGCAGGGGTGGCACAGCCGGCCTGATCCCGCTGCCCGGGCAGGTGCGGGAGCGGGACCTGCCCGTGGTGATCCACACGCTGGCCGGGGAGTTCGACATCTACAAGGAGGAGGGTGGCGAGTGTGTCCCCGTCACCTGCGATGACGTGAGCAACGGCTTCCTCAAGCCCAAGCCACGTGAGTGACACTGGGCTCTGTGTCCCCGGGGCCACCCAGTCCCACCCAGATGATCCAGTACAGCTGCTGGTACCCATATCCTTGAGGGACCTCCAGGGCTCCCCTGTCCCCAGGCCACACTGTCCCAGAGCCATCCAGTCCTGCCAAGATACTGCTCCCATGGGTGGTTCCCACATCCTGGGATGGTCACCGTGTCCCCAGGACCACACAAGGACTGTCCCCAGTCCCTGCCAAGGTGCTCCTGCTCCCACCAGTGGTACCTACGTATTTGAGGGACCCCACCAAGATGCTCCAGTTCCCACTGGAGATGCTCGTCTGGGGCCACCCAGTCCCTACCGAGGTGCTACAGCTCTCACCGGTGGTACCCACATCCTTTGGGACCCCGGGCCACCCCTCTGCTCCCTGAGAGACTTCGGGCTGCGGGCGCGGTGGCCACGGGGTGGCACTGCGGGACTGTCCCCGCGCTGTCCCCAGGCCTGACGCGGCCGTTCCCCTGCCAGCTGCCAGCCCCACGCTGCACCCGGTGCAGAGCCCCCAGACGCGCTTCTGTGTCCTGACGGTGGCCCCCGACACGCTGCCCGCCATCGCCACCATGCTCATCGACGTCCTCTTCTACTCCCACAGGTGAGTCCCGGGCATGGGGACATGGGGTGGCCTCTTGCCTGGTGCCACCTGAACTGCGGTGACATTGGTCCCAGCCATTGGTCCCAGCGGGTTTTCACACTCTGGGTGTTTTCCAAATGGTTTTGTCTTCCCGGGAGCTGCACTGTGAAGGGTGGGAGCCCTGAGGTGACACAAGGGACAAAGCCACCATTGTACCAAATCCCAGAGGGAAGACTAAAGCAGGAGGGGGTGGGTTTGGGAATGGTGCTGAGGGGAGGGAATCCTGCTGGGGTTCTCCCATGCCCCTTGGGATGGGGTCCCTTCTGGTGGCATGCTCCTGCTCCAGAGTGACTGTGGCCTTTTGAGAATGCCCCAAAACCTCACAGGTGTCACCTGTGAGCTGCAGACCCTGTGGGGACCACCTGCTCCTGTCCCTTCTCCCCTGCCCTGCAGCACCCCAGCATGATGCTCAGACACCCAGTGCCACCACCAAGCCCTTCTCCTCCCCATTTTGGGGGTCGTGACCCCTTTGTGTGTCCCCTTGCCCCTCGGTAGCCCCCCCTGGGATGCAGCCACCAGCAGCCAGGACCTCGACTCCATCACCTTCTTCTCCTTCTCCCTCATCGAGGGCTACATCTCCATCGTGATGGATGCCGAGACCCAGAAGCGGTAGGTGCCATCCCGGGGCTGTCTGTCCCTCTGTCCGTGGATCTGGGGGCTCGGGGAGGGGGTGACACTTGCCTTCATCCCCTCAGCTTCCCCAGCGACCTGCTGCTGACCAGCTCGACGGGGGAGCTGTGGCGGATGGTGCGCATCGGGGGGCAGCCCCTCGGCTTCGGTGAGTGAGGCCGTGCTGGCCGCGTCCCCGCTGGTGCCACTGCCACCCAGGAGGTGCTGTGGGGCACTGCTGTGCCCGCGTGTCCCCGTGGCAGTGACCTGGGGCCCCCTTTGCCCCCCCAGACGAGTGTGGCATCGTGGCGCAGATCGCGGAGCCGCTGGCGGCCGCCGACATCTCGGCCTATTACATCAGCACCTTCAACTTCGATCACGCCCTGGTGAGCCCTGCCCCTCCCCGGGGACCCTGCCAGCCCCGGGTGTCCCCTGAGGCTGACACCCCTCTGTCCCCCGGCAGGTCCCCGAGGAGGGCATTGCTGAGGTGATCCACCTGCTGCAGCAGCGGCAGGAGGGCAGATAGCGGCCGGCTGTCCCCGGGCTGACTGTCCCAGCGTGGTGTCCCCCTCCTCCCCAGCCCTGTTCAGTAATTGTTCTTGTTAATGATCCCCCAGCCTGGGACAGAGCGGGCACGGCAGCGCTCCCTCTGCCGGGGTGTGGTGGCTCTGGGGACGTGGTGGCCTTGTGGCAGTGAGCACTGGCCCCCAGGAGAGGGGTCAGTCCCTGGTGCCACCTCTCCCTCCGGCCTGGCCTGTGCGGGGTGGGTGGCCCAGGGAGAGTGGGTGTGTCCAGGTGGAGGGGACAGGGCGGGGACATGCCAAAGAGCAGTGGTGTGCCACCGTGGTGCTACAGGGGGCAGCCTGGGGCTGGTGGGATGTGTCCCCTTGGGAGGGGAGCAGTGGCCACGATGCTCAGGGACACCCCTGGACCAGCCCCGTGGAGGGGAGAGCATTCCTGGAGCTGGGGTTCCCCCTGGCACCCCAAAAATCTCCAAGGGGGCAGTGGGGGGGCTTTGGTTCAATGCCAGCCCTGGCTGTCACCTGTCATGGAGGAGTGACAGTGACACCCAGCCCCTCACAAGTTGTATTTTCTCACAGTTTTTGATAAGTCAATAAAATTCTTATTATTTTTATTTCTGTGTAGCCCAAGGAGGTTGCCCAGAGCTGGTCTCTGTGTTGGTGGCAGGGGCTGGGATGCAACAGGGGGACGGAGTCTGGCTGTGAGGTGACTGGGACACGGCCACTTTCTCTACTCTGTATTTTGGGTGAAAAAAAGGGGTAAAACTGCAGCCCCCAGCAAATCACCAGCCCCAGAGAAACCCAGGCCCACATTTTTGCCCTCCCCCCGCCTCACACTGGGCCAGACTGGGGGGAAACTGAGGCAGGAGCTTGACCCCAGGCCTCGGGATGTCCCTGTCACACTGCCACCGTGTCCCCACGTTCTCCTCCCTCGCTGGCAGCACTGTGGCAAAGTGGGGTACTCGGGGTGGGGCTGTGCCCTCCTGGGGGTGCTGCTGCCAGGGGTGCCCCCGGGGGGGCCTGGGCCTCAGCCAGACCCAGCACGAGCCTGTGGGGCCCTCTGCTCCCATCCTGTCCCCAAAATCCATCCCGCGTTCCGAGCACCACTGTGCTCCCGTCCTGGCACGTCTTGCCCACATCAGCCCCGCACCCTTGCAGCCACCAGCTTCCTGCCAGCTCTCCGGGGCTCTCTTTCCTGTCTCGGGCCCTTCTCCGAGTCATGGGACGCCGGTGACGCGCTCCCGCGATGAAGAAATTGCCGCGGCCGTGCGGTCACCCGCGCTATTTTTGTCCCTCCTGGTATTGCAAGTGCTGGCCACGCTCCTGCCATCAGCAGGGTGGCCACCACCACGGCGTCCTGCTGGCCCAGCCCAGGGGGTGGCAGTGCCATGTGGAGGGGCCAGGGACAGCTGTGGCCAGGGGAGAGCTGAGGGTGGAGCCCTGATCACCCTCAGGGCAGGGGAGGGAGGGATGGATGGATGGATGGATGGATGGATGGATGGATGGATGGATGGATGGATGGATGGATGGATGATCATATGGATAGACAGGTTAATGCACAGCTGAACGGGTGGAGGAATTCTTGGATGGGTGCACAGATGATGGATGGATGGACAAGTGGACAGACAGATGGATGGACAGCTGGTGAACAGCCTGTTGAGGCAGCCTGAGGGATGGACAAACTGCTGTGGAACAAGCAAGATCTTCTCCTGGTTGCTCCACCTTTCCAGGACTGCCCTGGGCACAGCCCTGCCCACCCCAGGAACCCACCGCAGCCGCCACCTCTGCCGGGGAGGCCCCGGGAGGAGGAAGAGGAGGAGCCGTCAGAGGCAGCGGGTGGAGGAAGCAGACCGTGCAGGTCGTGGTGCGGCCGGGGCAGGGAAGTTCTGGGAAAAGAAAGAACTTCTAAAAGTCAGTGACTATTGCATCCTTCTTCCTGGAAGGAGCTGTTAATTTCTGCCCCTGCGCCATCACCGAACTCTCCAAATGCGTAAATTCGGCGAGAGTCACCAAAATCAACGGCATTGCGACACGCCTCGACACGCTGAGCAGAGACATTCACCTCCAAGGAAAGGGAAAACCCCGGTCGGTGCCGGGCTGTGCCTGCCAGGAAGGGGAGCCAGCGGGACAGAGGGGACTGTCCTGGGCGCGGCTGGCTGTGCCAGCCCCAGGGCTCTCGGTGTTCCCGTGGGTGCTAAGCCTGGTGTCCCCTACTTGGTTCAGCAGCCCAGTTTGTCACCCAGAGGTGTGGGTGAGTGTGAGCAGGCGGACGGAGCATCTCCCGGAGCAGCGGGCAGTGCTGGGATGCCGTGCACTTCCCACACCTCCATCTTCCTCCTTCCAGGGTAGATTTTTGCCTCCCACAGCTGGATTTGGGATGGGAAACCCCCCGTGGTGGCACACGGGTGACATCCCCGTCCCCGCTGCCAGCCGCCCCTGCCCTCTTTTGCATTGGGGTTTCGGGGCAGCCGGCGCTGGTTTCAGTTCACCTGTTGGGTGCTGAGCGGTGACACGGCAGGAACCAAAAGTCTGTTTCCCAAGGAGCCCAGGATTGCCAGCCCGGGGTCCCGCCGGCTCCGGGCTCAGCGGTGGCACCGCGGCCTCCCCGGCTGGACCCACCCGGACTCCCTCGAGGAACTGACTCGAAGAACATCCGAGCCCGGCCCCGTTTCCTCCCGCCCTTCTCACCCTGCACATTGGCCCCGGACAGGCTGAAGTTCTCGCAGCCTTCCTCCCCGGGTGCCTCCTTCGCAGGGTGACTCGGGTGCGCTTTAAAAGCCGCGCTTCCCCATCGCGGGCGCTGAAGGAAGTGGCTCTGCGCGCCGCAGCCCGGGCGCACACCCTGCCCCGGCCATGCGGAGCGACGGGCGGCCCTGGGCGCTGCTGGCAGGTACGTGTGTGCCCGGGGCCGCGGGCCCGCCGCTCGGCCCGCCCGGCAGCGCCGGGGGAGCGCGGGGCCCCCGGGGCTGCGGAGCCGGCGATGGCACCGAGCTCTGCCACGGCCGTGTCGCCTCCCTCGGGCGCTGGCGGGGACGGGGACATTCCCCGCCGTGGCACATGGGGAGCACTGGGAGTGGGCAGCCTGGGAGAGAGGGGATGCCGGGAGCGGTAGGCGGGAGGGGACAGTTTGGGGACCAGTGGTGGGAGGTCAGGGGTCAGCTTGCCCGGAGGGACAGAGGCTGGTGTCAGCCCAGTGCCATACCCAAAGTGCTGTGGGTGACAGAGGCACTGGGACAGTGACTGGCAGAGCTGGACAGCAGGACTGGACCCAGGAGTGTGGCTGCTGTCCCCTCCTTTGCGGTGGCCCGTGCTGGCAGGGGGAGCTGCTGGAGCAGCTGCTGTGGTTGGCCTGCGCATCCCGGGCGCTCCACAGCACCTCCAGCACCTTCCTCCTCCTCCTCCTCCTGCCGGGTGCCCAGCAGGGTTTTGGCGCAGGGTCTGAGGTGCAGGCAGCACTCACTCCTGGCACAGGGATGGTGAGCCTGTGAGAGAGGGCTGTCCCTGCACCCAGCGATGTCCCAACGGCCCCTGACTCCCTCCTCTTCGTCCCCAGCTGTGGCCAAGGGGCTCCTCATCCTCTGGGCAGTGCCGGGCCAGGGGGGCAGGTCCCCGCTGGCCCCCAGCGTGCAGCAGACCCAGGCGCTGGTGAGGCTCATGGCCGAGGACGCGCAGGAGCTCTTCGCCTTCTACGTGAGTCCCCTTCCCCAGGGCCAGGGGTCACGCCTGTCCCCTCCACAGGGCGGCCAGGGGACAGTCCCCGTGCTGCTTCCACGTCCCTGACCGTCCTCTCCAATCCCTGAGCAGGAGAAGGAGCAGCACCTGGCCATCCACAACATGTGCCGCACCAACAACCCCCCCGAGTGGCTGCAGAGGCCGGCCAGGGGGCCCTGGGGGCTGCGGAGGCTGCGGAGGCCCATGATGCACATGGAGCAGGCGCTGCAGGACATCATCCGCCAGCAGCGCGACCTCCACCACCCCGAGGCCGAAATCCTTCGCCGCCTGAACGGGACCCACCTGAAGGTGCGAGCGCTCCTCAGCAACCTGGCGGGGCTCTTCCCGGCCCCCGGCCCCCGCCCCGGCCGCCGGCCCCTCCCCAGCCCCGCGGCATCCCTCGGCATCTTCCGACAGAAGCTGCAGGGCTGCCGGATCCTCTGGAGCTACGCCCGCTTCATGGCCGAGCGCAGCGCCGAGCTGGGCGCCGGGAGCCGCCGGACGCGCCGGGAGAACGGGAGATGACCCCGGGGCTCGCGGCTGCCCGCTCGGCCCTAGGGCAGCCCCGCCGGCAGCTCCGTCATCTCCATCATCTCCATCTCCATCCCACGGGAGGCGATCCCAGCCCCGTTCCAGGATGGAGAGGCATCCGATGGCCGGGATGCCCCGCGGAGCCCCTCGCCCTCACCCGGGCGAGGGCTCGGATGCACTGACAGCATCTGCCGCCGCTTCGGCTCCTCGTGGGGACCCTGCTGTCCCCGAGCCGCCGCTGGGCTGCAGGACAGCCCTGCCTGGCTCTCCCACGTCCTGCCCCGCTCTCCCGCGGATCCAGGTGGCCCCAGCGGAGCCGGGTGTCCCCCGGGTGCCCAGCTGCTCCCTGTCCCCGAGCCCTGCCGGATTTTCCAGTGATTCAATGGGTCGGCTGACACAGCCTGACTCAGAGCTGCTCGCCCAGCACCGGCCCCGGGCCCGCGGAGAGCGCCGCTGCCACCGGCGGCTGTCACCGGTGTTGTCACCCCTGCCTGCCCGCCGCCAGCTCCGCTCCCAGTGAGGAGCTGGGAGTGCAATCCCGGCACGGTCTGTGTCCCTCTGAGCCTGGTGTCCCCGAGCTCAGTGTCCCTTTGCACACCCCTGTGCTCTCAGTGTCCCCTGTGCTCTCGGTGTCCCTGTGCTCTCAGTGTCCCCAGGCTCACTCCTGCACACTAGGTGTTGCCATCCTGTCCCCTCCGTGTCCCCCCGAGCCTCCCAGGCCGTGCCACCACAGCCCTGACTGTGCCCAGCAGGGGCTGGCTCTGGCCACTGCACTGTGACAGTGGGTGACAGCCCCCACTGCCTCCCCCTTATTTATACATTAATATTTGTGTGTTCATTGTATTTATTAATTGTTAGGGTTAATTTAACTCCTACAGCTTGCAGAAGTATTTAAGGACATTTCTAATATATAAATATCTATTTTTATTGTATTTTTTTTACGGTGTTAAACTATGAACATCACAAGGATTTATTTATGTATTGATATTTTTGGTACACAGAGATGGGCAGTGCCCCCGCTCATGTGGCACTTCTTTATTTTTGTACAACGGCAGAAGGAAATAAAGTGCTGACCTTGGCCCATGGGCCACCGAGACGTTGTGTCCCGCTGTCCCTGTGTCTGTCCTGGTGGCTGTGGGTAGGGAGAGGCTGTGCTCTGGTGGCCAGGCTGTGCCTGATGTCCTCGCCAGGGCACACGGGATGTGACATGGGGTGGCGTGGGGCATGTGGGACAACACGGTGTGACACATGGCATGGCACAAGCTGGGATGTGGCACTGCACAGTGGGGCCCATGGCACGGGGCACAATGTGGCACACGATGGGATGTGGCACAGGACGTGGCACACAGCACGGTGTGACACAGGGCATGTGACGTGACAGGCTGTGGTGTGCCACACAGGGCCTGGCACTGCCAGGGGGTGGCACAGACCACACGACACGTTGTGCCACATGTCCCAGTCCTGTCTGGGCCATCCCCACAGCCACAGCCCCAGCCAGGCTGAGTGCAGTGTCCTGCAGCCTGGCCAGGGCCACCGTGAGGACCGGGCCACCCGCTGCCACCGGTCCCTCTGAGTCAAAAGTCCTGAGACCTGGTCATGTGTCCCCGCGGAGTCACTCGTTCCCGTGGGTGCCGTGTGCGGCGCAGCGCCCGGCTCTGCCGCCGGCTCCAAGCCTGACTCAGTCCGGGACGGCCACCACGGCGCCCGGGGACACTCGTGGGGGACAATGTCACCATGAAGCAGCCCGGGCCAGCTCGGCGTGCTGCGGGTGACCGTGGAAGTGACCGCGACTGTGCCACCACCAGGCCGCCCACCCAGCTCTGGAGGGGGCTGCGGAGGGGAGGGTGCAGGTACGTGACCCCCGGGGGGCTGGGGGACCCCAAACACGGGGTGACACCGGCTGGGTGTCACTGAAGGGGTGGTGGCTTCTCTGGTGTCCCCAGCGGGACAAGCAAGGGAACCCCAGTGCCCACTCATGGGGACAGCCTGTGGGTGACACTGCTGGGGTGGCACTGCTGGGGTGGCACTGCTGGGGTGGCACCAGTGGGGTGACATCGGTGGGCACAGGGACAGGGGGAGGCAGCCCCAGCACGGCCCCATCGTGAGTCCGAGGGGAATTGGGTGCCCTCCGTTACTGAGCTCTGGATTTCCCCGGGCCAGGAGCCCCTGCCCGGCTCAGCCCCCCGGGAGGGCTCCCCCGACACCCCCGGGCACTCCCGGACACCCCCCAGCCTCGTCCCCACCCCTGGGGGACACCCGGGACTTTTGGTGTCCCTGGAATCTGGGTGTCCCCGGAATCTGGGTGTCCCCCTGCACGGGGACACCGCGGGGTGGGGACCTGGAGGGGAGCCAGAGGGGGATGAGGATGGGGCGTGGGGGGCAGTTACGGGGTGGGGCAGTAACGGGGGGAGCTGGGGCAGCTCTGAGAGGGACTGGGGCAGGGGGACAGTGACGGGATGGGGAAGGGCAGGAGGGGACAGCTGCTGGCTGGGGACAGGAGAGGCCGGGGGTGGGGAAGGGGCAGGGGGCAGCTGCAGAGCGGGGGGGGATGGGTCAGTTCTGGGTTGGGATGGGGCGGCGGGGGCAATTATGGGATGGGGAGAGGCCAGTTCTGAGCTGGAGCAGCAGGGGGCAGCACGGGGACAGGGATGGGACAGGGATGGGACAGGGATGGGACAGGGATGGGGACAGGGATAGGGACAGGGATGGGACAGGGATGGGGACAGGGATGGGACAGGGATGGGGACAGGGATGAGCAGACATGGAACAAGGATGAGGAGGGGAACAGCACAGGGACAGGATAGAGGGGACAGCAGGGGGACAGGGATGCGGCAGAGAGGCGCCATGGGGACAGGAACGGGACAGGGACAGAGTGGGGTGTCTGCCATGGAGCCGAGGACAGCGCTGGGCAGGGATGCTCAGAGGGGCCCAGAGCAGCAGCAGCACGGCAGCGGTGGCCTTGGAACACCCTGGGCTTGTCCTCTTGTCCCTGCGCAGGCCACGGTGGGGATGGAGGGGGCACTGGGGACACTGGGGACAGCTGGCCCCTCACCAAACCCCCAAGCCCCGACCCTCAGTCTCTCCTGACAGGGAGGGCTCCCCCAGCCCCGCTCCCTCCTGGGGACACGCCGGGACCCCCGCCCCTGTCACCGCCCCCTCAGGCTCCCGCAGCCCCGCTCCTGCTGCCCGTCTCCACCGGGCATCGGCACAGGGATATCCCTGCTGCCAAAGGGGTTGGGGAAGGGGAAATTCCTGGGCATCATCTCCCCCCCGTACCTCCCACCCTGGCATCTCCCATCCTGCCATCTCTCTGTCCAGCCTGTCTGGACCAGGAATTCGGGATTTCCCACCGGAGCATCCCCCTGCACAGGTCCAGCGTCTCCCCGCGGGTTTGTCTTTTTTCCTGGAGAAAACCCCTCCTTTAATCCTAATGCTTTTGCCCCAAGGGCTGAGCTGCAGGGGGAGACACCGGTGCCACCATGACCAGGGGTCCCACACCCCTTGGGGGACCTCAAAGCCCAGCTCAGCTCCAGCCCAGACTCAGCTGCCCCTGGGAAATCCAAGAAAAGGGCAAATCCGCGTCAACCCCTGCACACAACCGCCCCAGGATGTTGTCTATGCTAATAATTAAGTGCTATTAATTCTCAGCTAATTAAACTTGTCAGGCCATTAGATGTCCATCAATATGTGATGCGCTGCTCCCCACATCCCAAAAAGACTGGGGTGAGGCTGCAGGGAGGGAGATGGAGCTCATCGTCCCCGCCCTCCACAGTCCCCAGCTCGTCCCTGATGCCCCCCTAAAACCAGACTGGGCTAAACTGGGCTGGGCATCAATGCCACCGGCAGAGCAGGCTGGTCCTTGCACCGGGAAACTGAGGCACGCAGCAGCTGTGGCCCGGCCCCGCCAGTGCAGAGGGGCCTTCCTGTGCCCCCTCGCCGTGTCCCCCCCAAGGCAGCACGCCCGGGGTCGTGGTGGCTCTTGCGTCACCGCTCCTGGGCTGTCACCGCCGGTTCACCTGCCGGGGCACAAACTTGCTAAACCTGATTAAAGCTTCAGTTCGGCCCCGGTGAGAAAAAATACAGAGAAGGACAAAAAAAATCCATTTAACCTGTTTTTCACCCAAATCGGGCAGCGACCAGCCCCGCAGTGTCCTGATCCCGTGGAGTCCCCACGACACGGTGACCCAGCGCCCTCCTGCCCGCTGCAGGCAGGGGACAGCCCCGCCGAGGGAAGGGTTAACCCGGGGGGGCCGGTCCGGCCTCTCCTCTGGCTGGGTTTGTCCTTTTCCCTGCAGAAACCCACCCTTGACTGATAACGCTTTTGCCCAAAGGGATGAGCCAGCGGCGGGCTGGGGGACACCGCTGCCACCGCGGCCACCCCACCGTGACCGCGGCGTGCGGCACCCACCGCCGCTTCCCCGCGCCTTGCATCCCCCCAAAACCCCAAACACACCCCAAACCAGACCTTTTTACCTCCTTCATTGTAGCGGTTGCTCCGGCAGCCAGCGAGGAAGCCTCGGCCCGGGGAGGGGGACCCGGGGGTGACAGTGCTCGCGGCTCCCGCGTCCCAGCGCCGCTCCTTGTCCGCCGCCTCGACACCCCCGAACCCCACGTGCACCTCCCTTGGGGGGGCTTCCATTCATCCCTTCCAGCCCACCCACTTCCCCGAGCCCGCGCGCAAAACAAAAGAGGACACAGTGCTTGTTCTCAGAAGTTTATTTCGAATAATCATGTTTAAGCCCTCCGACTTCCTGATTCCCAAATTCAATGGAAGCAGCGATAGCTGATCCGATGATTCTCTTCCCCCCCCTTTTCTTCTCCTCCCCTTACACCGCAGGCTGGCTGCCGGTATATAAACCCCGAGAAGTCCCCCAGTATGAACATGAATTTCTGAAAACTTCCTCTGCCAACACCAATCCCTATTAAGTCGCTCCCGGGACGCGGCTCACAATGAAGTTCGTGCCGGCAGGTAAAAAAAAAAAACAAATCGACTTTGGGGATACTATTTCCCCTTCTCCCCCTCCCCTTTTTCCTCCCCCTCCCCTCCTTTCGCCGGTGATGCTCGGGCGCAGGCGGGTCCCGTTGGATGCCGCCGCTGGAGCCGAGCGAGGGCTCCCGCCGCGCCGCGTCCCCCCCGGGATGAGCATCTCTGGGAATTGGCAGCGGGAGCGGAGCGCGGCGCTGGCGCGGTCCAGCCAACATCTGGACACTTATATAACTGGAAATGTTTCCAAGGAAAAAAAAAAATCTCTAGGAGGGGGGGATTTTTTTTTATTTTTTGTACTTTTAAATACTTTCTCCCCCGCTGCCGCTTTTCCTCCTTCTGGGTCTCCCGGTGCCTCAAGGCGCTGCCGTGCCGGGAGCGGTGGAAGGATGGGGAGGCCGCCAAGTGCAGGAGGGGTCGGAGGGAGCAGCCCCCAGCCCGAAGCCGTTCTGGGGGTCCCACGGGGCAGCACCGCCGGGGACTCCCCACCCTCCCAGATCCCGGCACACGTGGGGCAGAGCCTCTCCCTGCCCAGCTGTGAATGGGCGGAACAGCGGCCGGGGGGGCACAGCGAGAGGGGCTCCTGAGGCTCCGGGAGTCTGCATCCCCTGGGGACAGCCGGGGCGCGGGGGGCAGGGTCCCCCCGTCCCGTGCGGGTCAGGGACTGGAACACGCCCAGGTAGATCCTCTCCCACCTGGGCAGGGTAAATAAATCGAGGCTCGGATTACCCGGCAGCGGCGGCACGTCCGAGGCGCTGACAAGTGCGGCGACTTCGGCGCTCGTCACTGCCCGGGGACTTCGCCTGGCAGCCCCAGCGCTGCGGGCACGGGACCCCCACCCTGGCGGGGCCCTGCTGCTGGCATCCAGGTCACCCAGCGGCGGGGACACCCTGGCCACCCTGCCCGAGGTGGCAGCGGGCTCCAGAGGCGGTCTGGCCTCTCCGGGCACGGGTGGATCCCGGTTTAGGGGGGTGGTCCCAGCGGACCGGGGCTCGCAGCGCCCGCGCTCAGGACGGAGCTGCCGGCGGCTCAAGGGTCCCCTTGTTCCGCGCCCGGGGACTTCCTGGCTGGAGCCTCCGGCAGCTGCGCCGTCTCTCCCCAGGGCTCCTCGGCGCTGCGCCCACTGCTCAGACGGGGAAACTGAGGCAGGCGGTGGGGCCGGGAGCGGGAGGAAGGAGGGAGGGCACGCCGAGAGCAGGTTTCCTTGCGGGAGCCCCGCTGAGTCAGCCGGGCCGGGGTGGGGCCTTGCTCCCGAAGCGCCGGGACCAGGATAACGGAGGAAAAAGCGTCTTGCACGTTTGATTAAACACGACAGGTCGCCACCGGGCCGGTTGCGAAATGTGGGAATGCTGCGGGGCCCCCCGCCGGGAAGGGAGGCGGGGGAGCGCCTGCCGGGGGGCAGGTGAGGGGGCCGGCGGCGGGACGGGAGCTGCGGCACGGCCGGCACGGCAGAGCGCGGTCTGGGGGCTCCAGCTGAGCTGGACGCACACCCAGGCGGGTGAGTCCCTGCTCCAGCCGGACACCCTCCCTTTGGGTGCCTGGAGCCGGGATCATCCCGGGTGATGTAGCAGCGACAGCGCGGTGGGCCAGCGTGGCCTGGCGCCGGTCCCACCGTGACAGCGGCCTCTCTCCCTCACAGGCGTCGTGCCCTTCGTGGCCCTGCTCCTGCTGCAGCGGCGGCCCGTGGCCGGCCGGGCGCTGCTGGTGAGCGGCTCCGGCTGCCCCAGCCACGGCCTGTGCCGCTCCAACGTGCAGGAGCAGACCCGCAGGCAGGTGGCCGTGCTCAACGCCACCGCCCAGGAGCTCTTCAGCCTCTACGTAAGTGGAGCTCGGGGACGGCCGGGGATCACGGCGGGGGGACGGAGCCCCGCTGCACGAAGGGGGAGGGCTGGGGACACCGTGGGGACGGTGGCAGGGGGGACACGGGGTGACAGGGGGTGACGCTTGCCTCTCCTCCCAGCTGAAGTGCCAGGGAGAGCCGTTCAGCAGCGAGAGCGACAAGCTCTGCAACCCCGCCGGAATCTTCTTCCCTGCCTTCCGCGTGAACCGGACGAGCGAGAGGAAGGAGGTGATGGTGGCCATGTACAAGCTCTTCGCCTTCCTCAACGCCTCGCTGGGCAACATCACCCGCGACCAGGAGGAGCTGAACCCCATGGCCAAAGAGCTCCTCGAGCGGCTCCACAACACCACCAAGACCACCCGAGGCCTCATCTCCAACCTCACCTGCCTCCTCTGCAAGAACTACAACATCTTCCAGGTGGACGTCAGGTACGGGGACAGCTCCAAGGGCAAGAGCGCCTTCAAGAAGAAGCAGCAGGGCTGCCAGGTGCTCAGGAAGTACGTGCAGGTCATCGGCCAGGCAGCACGTGTCCTCCTACCTCATCTCAGCCCCTCATGAGCGCCCGCCCCGGCCACGCTGCCTCTCTGCTGCTGGGCGGCCCCCGCCGCTGCCTCCCGCATTCCCGCCTTCCTATTTATTACCCGGACCCTGCGCCGGCCCCACCCGCCCTCCGGTAATTTATTACCCCTTGAGGGGGTGAACGTGGCAGCCCGGAGTGTCCCGGGGTGTCCTGCACCCAGCAGGCCGAGGCAGCGCGGCTCCGAGGAGCACGGGCTGGTCCCGGGATGCGCCTCAGCCACCCCCGGGCCCCGCGGGCTGTGGGGAGCTGTGGGGGTGGCGGCAGGGCCGGACTCTGTCCCCACGGACAGTGTCATCAGGGAGAGCACCCGGACAGATGCCCTTGAGCACCGTCTGACAGCTGTCACTTCCCTGGAGAAAGGATTGTGAGGAAGGACACTGGCATGCAGGGACGTGTGGACACGCTCCCCCTGCACGTTTTAAGGCTGGCTTCCCCTTCAAGGAGCCAAACTGAGGGTACTGGTGGCTGTGCTGCCTAGGGCTGGGTCCCAGTGTTTGGGACGAGGCCACCTGTGTGGGACTGTCACCACACTGTGGAGCATCATCCCCCCGCGCGGGCACGGCGGGGCACGGAGCAACTTCTCATTCAGAAAAGAGCTTTTCCCTTCGGAAGAGCTTGAGTCAAATAACGGCCAGGAGCTGGGCTTGCACAGCTGAATGCAGCCCTGCTGTGGGGGCGTGGGACAAGGGGACACGGGGACATGGGACACAGGGACAGGGGACACAGGGACATGGGGACGTGGGGACACAGGGACGGGCCCCAGGCCGGTGGCAGGTAGCGCTGGCGCGTTCCTGGCACCAGAGTGGGCTGTGAGGGTTATGCCTCCGTGGAAAGCCCAGCGTGCACTGACTTTTAACTATTTTATTGCCAATAATTATTGCTAATTAATTAATAATATTTGTGGTAATATATTCCTGAAATTCTATTTAAATATTTATTTTTTTATGTTTCTTGGTCTACTTTTTTAAAATAAAAAAATAGAAACAGACTGTATTTGGCTGCTCTTCCTTGGGTGCCTTTTGTGCTCACCCTCAGACACCTCTGCTCCCCTAAAGCACCCTCAGGGGAAAAAACCCTCAAGGCGTGGCTGTGGATCACAGTCCCCTGTCACCTTGTTCCTTCCTCCCTTCCCACCTGCTATAGGATGGCTGATTGGAAATATATTTTTCCGGGTGGGAGGAATGTTTAATTTGACTCACCAGCTGCTCAAAAACGCTGGGACGATGTGGGACCATCGTGGTGCAGGGACCATCGTGGTGCAGGGATTGTCCTGGCAGGGGAGCATTGTGGTGTGGGTGCCACAGCAGCATGGGGAGCGTCATGGCACGGGCACCACCACAGTGGGGGGACCATCCCAGGGTGTGGAGCACCGTGGTGTGGGGAGCCCCACTCTGGCAACCCTGGAAGTTCCTGTGGCAGCGGAGGAAGGCTGGGAGGAGGCTGAGGGAGCTGAGTGAGCATGTGCGAGGTGGAGGGGACGCACCAGATAAAACCAAAGCCGCTTCCCAGGCCGTGCTGGGAGAGGCTCAGCAGAGCCTTGCCGGGGCCAAGACCACCTCAGGCTGCAGCCGTGGCCCGGTGCTCAGCGAGCGCCTCGCATGGGGCTCTACCGGTTAACAAGAGCCTGATTATACGGGAGACGTTGCAGCAGGATGATGAAATTTTCCTCCTCCTCCGGAGCCCTTGGGCCACTGGCCAAACCTCCCAGGCATGAGACAGCAAGCGGATGAGCTAAGATCCTGTGTGATCATCTCTCGTGTCTCAGAGGAGCCCCAACCTAAAGATCACCACAGACATTCACAAGTTGCCCCCTCAGCCCCTCTTCCTCTGCCCTGAGGGGCCGTGTTGCCCAGTTGTGCCTCCCAGCTCCTGCGGGAGGTTTCATGGCCTGGGTTTGACCCCAGACAGGCACTGCCCTGTGCCGGGGGCAGCCTTGTGCTGCACCAGTGGTGACAGCAGGAACAGCAGTGCCCATTTCCAGCCTGGCCCTGCTGTCCCTTCATGGAAGGGACGGATGCCAAAACAGAACAGGCTCCTGCATCCCACAGCCGAGGCACCCAGGGACATCCCTGCATGCCATGGTGTCTCCCCATGCATGATGTGGCTTTCTTCCTTCATCCAGCTTGCCAGCAGGGAAGGAGCCGTGGGTGTCTCCTGTGTCCCTGCCCTGGAGGATGCCCATTTTGGAATTGCAGCCCATTTGTGGGGCTCGTTTCCTGCCTGCACTGTGGGATACAATACACTCAAAGCAATACAACCCCCCCAAAACACAGCTATGGGGCAGGGCATCATCACTTTAGGAAAGGCATTATGCCCCGGGACCAGTCCTGCAGCACTTTGTCACTGTGGCACCCTGACAGCTGCCAGGGTCACCCTGACCCTGCAGCTGGGGACACACAGGTGTCCCCATGGCTATTGTTACCAGGGCATTGTGTGGCCAACATTTCCTATGCTGGGAAGTCCAGGGCTGGACATCCAAACGCAGCCTTTCCTTGTGCCAACACCCACAGTTCATCCCCGCCGGGGGTGTGGAAGGTGCCGTGGGTGCCACCAACCCGCCCCGGGCAGCTCGGGGGCTGCCAGGCCCGGGGACAGGGTCGGGCCCGGCGGGGCCGGGAGCTGGGCTGGGGACGGTGTGAGCGAGGAGCCGAGCACATCTGGATTTCTCACGCTTGCGTTCAACATCCCTCCTCATCCAGATGGCAAAAATAAATAAACAGAATAAATCACAGCCTCCTGACATAAATCGGGAACTCACGCCCCGGCTCTGCGTTTCATGAGTCTCCCTGGAAGACAGTCAAACGCAGGCGAGGACAATGGGTCCACTTCTCCCCCGTGTCGGGTCATTCCCAGTTAAGGCTCATTAGCAGCAGGCGGGGTATTAACTCTTCCTTCCCTGGAAACGCGTGGACAAGCCCCTAAAATTCCCCAAATCCCTTCCTCCATCGTCCCGCGAGGTTTGGGATTCGGGGCCGGCGGTGGCCCCCGGCTCGTGCCATCGCCCCGGCGAGGCAGGACGCGCTGCTCCGCTCATCCCAGACTCGGGAGAGATGGAAAGGGCTTTCGATTACCTCAGCCAGCGGCTGATCCCACCCAGCCGGCGCCCCGGGGAAGCGGGCCAGCCCCGCGAGCCGCACCGGGAGCACCGCGCAGGACCCGGCGCTGCGGCTTCCCCAGCGGCACCGGCAGCACCCTGTCAGCGCCTCCCCTTCGGCCCCAGGACCAGAGAAACTACTTTGGCTGGGACGAGGGCCAGGAGGGGCTCCGGGGAGCCATCCGCTGCGATGGGAGCGATGCCCGCGCCCCGATAACGGAGCGGCCTGACCACGGGCCCCGAGCGGCGGGTCAGCGCTGCCTTCGGGGAGCGGGATACGTGAGGAGCTGCTCCTGCCCGCGGTGAAGTCAGTGCCGCTGCCTGGGTGTGACGGGCTGACCTCAGCCCTTGGCCCCGCGGCGCGGATCATGTGCTGCCTGACGCCGCGCGAACCCGGCCGGCCGGGCCCTGCGCTGCCCCGGGGCCGCGGCCGGACGGGACCCGCAGGTGCGGGGCTGGGCACCGCCGGCTGCGCGTCCCCTGCGCGGCGTGACCCGCGCTGCAGCCCCGCACCGAGCCGGCGGGAGCATCCCCAGCGGGGCTGAGCTCGCCCGCAGAGCCGCGGCTGGCGGTCGGGTCGTTCCCTGAGAGATCCCAGGTGGAGCATCCCGCCTTCCCCCGTGTGCACCCGGGCTGGGGTCGGACCCGCTGGTGCCCACGGCAGAGCCCCTTCCCCACCCCAAGGCTCGGCGCTGGCCAGACGCGTTTGGCCGGTGACCGTCCCCACAGCAGGTCCCCAAGCCGGGTCCCCGAGGACGGGAACATCGCATCCCGAGGGCCGGCTGGAGGCTCCGTCCCGGGCTGGCCGCCGGCCCGAGCACGCAAAGCAGAGCGAGCCCATCTGAAACGCATTCGGGCGCTGTTGCTGCAATAGCAGATGCTCCTGCGGGTCGCCGGCCACATCACAGCCCGGCCAGCGGGAACCGCACGCTCACATGGGAAGAAACAGTTCTTGTCCCAAACGGCTCGAACTCCTAATTGGGGACCAACCGTGACAAATAAACAAGACAATAGGCTGGAGGCGAGACGAACGCAACCTCTGTCGCAGGAGCCGGCTCCGAGAGCCGCCCCCGTGCCCAGCGGGGGACCTGGCACCGCCCGCAAGAGCCGGGGGGAGGGCACGGCCAGGATCCGGACCCCCGGCAGAGCCACTCTCTGTGTGACACCGCTGGAGCTCGGGGCTGGCTCGGGAGCAGGATGACACATCCCCAGTGGTCCCCCGAGACCCTTGTCGGTAGCTTTGCTCAGCAAGTGTTTAGTCTCGTTTGGAGCGGGGTCAGCTCCAGCCCTGCGGAGCTGCTGGAGCGGCCTCTCCGTGCTGCACCCCAGCTTGGGGCTGCTGGGGACCCCCGCACGGGGCTTAGGGACCCTTCTCCCCGGGGAGGGGATGCTCCGGGCTGCCTTGGAGCCACGGGCGGGGCCGGCCCCGGGGATCTGATAGCGCTGTTATCTCCGCGCAGCTATCGCCCTCCACAGAGAGCGGGGCGCTTCCACAGCCCCGGGTGCGCTTGGCACCGGTGCAGGAGCCTCGATAAAGCGCTCAGTGCCCTGGCCGGACCCTGAGCATGCAGAGCACCCGGTCATCAGTGCCCAAACGGGAGTGAACATCCTGGCTCATCCACTCCTGCTCTGCTAGGGTCTCATGGGATGTGGAACCTGCCTTGAAGACTGAGCCCAAAACCCAAAATTCAGCAGGACCTGTGAGGCTGAAGGTAGTTGAGACACATCTGCTTAACAAGGCATTTCAGATGGCCTGAGCCTACATAATTCCTGGCCCTAGGGGGAAATCAGGGCTCAAGGGGAAGATCTCACCTAAGGAAAGGGAGGACAATTTGTGATGAGGCTGGGAAGAGTGAAAAGATGGGAAGAAAAGTGTTCGGAAGCATATCCCAAGCAGGCTCCCAGAGGAGCAGGCAGCACTGGGAGAGACCCGTTAGGATGGCAGGGATGGTGGGGAAGGACCAGCCCTGGGGCTAAGCAGGAGCTGTGGCAGGTCCCCA